ACTCCCTTCTCTCCATGTGTCAGTATATAATGCCTGCATCTGTAACTTTCACTCTATGCATCTGAAGAAGTGAGGTTTTTACCCACGAAAGCTTATGCCCAAATAAATCTGTTAGTCTTTAAGGTGCCACCAGACTCCTTGTTGTTTTTGTAGATACAGACTAACACGGCTACCCCCTGATACTTGACAGTGTTTTATGTGAACAATGTACTACTGGGTTTGTGCTTGTATTAGCAGAACTGGATTTTTCAGAATTTTGCACTATGACACTATTCTCTTTACTGAAAGGCTTTAATGATGGTGACACAGTCATTGCATATTACATACATATTCATCCAGCAGGTAACGTATTCATTCATCTTGTTTTTTTTTTTTTTAAAAGACCTAGACTGATTTTTTTCACACTGAAAGTTATGAAGGCCCAGCTCCTGAAAGGCATTTAGGTGCTTAACTCTCATTAAAATTAATTTGAGTTTCTGTGAGAATCTAGGCTCAAATTCATATTTGAGCAGCTGAATTGAAGTGGTCTGATTTTCACAAAGTATTGAGCAGCTGTAGTCCTGTTGATTTTAATGGGATTTCAGGGTGTTCAGTGGTTCTGAAAATCAGATTACTTTTAAGTAGAGGCCCAAAATGGATTTAGGAGCATGATTTTAGGCACCCAGATCTCAACATTTTAGTCATGTTCCTCTGAGCATAACAGGACCTAAGGTATATAAATGGATGCATTTTAACGGTAAAAAAATCTTATTTAATATATTTTTGTTCTTTATTTACCTCGAATATATTCATTCCTCTGAGTAGTCAAGAATCTGCTAATAATCCTAGAACAATACACGTTGTGTTACTCCTGTGTAGTCCGCTTCTAAATTTAAAATTGGGAAGGGACGCCCTCTAGAGGTCAAGTTACAAAGGAGTTGACGATAATAGAAACTGACTCTCTTGACTGGAATTGTGTAGTAAGGCTGATGTCCTGTGGAGTTTTCCTTCATTTTAATTACTTTGCTAAACAGGAAACGAGCAACCATTGAACTGAATACATAATAAAATAACGTCATCAAAAAGTAAGTCTTATGCTTTTAAAAGACAAGTTACAAAAGGGAAATGCTCAAGTGCACTGCCAGATATGCTGCTGCCAGATACGTTCTGCCTCAGTGATACGGTTGCATTTGTCGTAGCTGAATGTAGCTTTATAAACCCCCTTCAATAGGCTGAAATTACTGTTATAAAATCTCCTCTCCTTTTGCAGCCTATTTACTTTGCATGCAGGAACCCTCAGCGTTCATGTACAACAAAATATAACGGCCAAACTTAATTTCACTGGAGCTTCACCAGAGCTGAATTTGCCCCAGCTGGTTGAATTCAATTTATTTGTAATTCTAACATGTTTTGTATTTGTTATACATACCGCCTAAATCGAACGTACGACCAATGTAACCCAAGAGACCAGCTATATATAATGCACAGAACCCATCTCACTTCGGTTTTTGTATTTACATTATATTTACATTAAAATGTTATTGATTTTCGTTTTACAGCAATTTCATGGTGTGCTCTAACTGCCAAGGTTTTGTTTCAAAACTCAATTACAATACAGTGGACATTTTTAAGGACTCGGGACAGAGATGCTATGTTTGCCTTTATAGTAATATTTGTGATTAAAAGAATAATGGGAGTATCCGTTCGATCTGTTGTGTAATGACACTAGAACGTCTTGTGACACTTACCTTAGCCTGATCATTCCCAGATGCCTAGCAGCAAAATAGCAACCCCTTTTTATAACGTTAAACAACTGAAATGAATCAGTTACATGGTGGTCTGTCCTAGGGCCCCTATGGAAGGAAGCTGGCTCTCCGCTAGCAGTACTGACACCTACGGACTAGGGATCTATGGCTCCGTGAACACGAGGTAAGGCAGCTATAGTGGTGAAGTAAAGGCGTGAGAGACAAGGCATGACATTAACTGAAAAAGTGCTTGAGCGCACAAAACCCGGATCGCTTCTGTACCGCTGACAGTGGAGCTCAGCATAGATGTTCCGGCTGTTACACTGATTAACAACCTTCTATTACAGGTCGATGTTTAAATAAATATTTGATTTTACACCAGGAAATATGGCATGTGTATGCGTACATAAATGCTACAGGAACCCTTCAGCATGTAGCTGCAGCAATAAATCCAATGCAGAAGCTTTAAATTATATTTTTCCTATCTAAATCTGAGTGTCCTTTGAATGAAAACACACTGTGAATGTTTCTGATACAATACTTGGCTTATTAATGATAATTACCTATGAGTCATTAAAAAAGCATTGCAAGCCCGGTGATTTTCTTAGCTATGTTAATCAAATCCTGGGTATTTTAGCTTGTAATTTAGGATTTCAGTAATGGTGTTTGCCAGAATTTGCGACAAGATACCTTCGATCAGGAAAACAAAAACATCATTGGAAAAACTCCATCGTAATGGGGCCTTCCCTTGCATTTTACTGGCTTACTTGTCATTCCTGCAAGGGCTGGTAAATTTCCTTTTCTGCGTAATGAATTGCCGTACAAGCCGATCGGCTCTACTGGGCAGGGCAGAATCTGCACCAAGCCCTTGGCAGCAGGGCTGAATGACTGGGGCTCGCTCCGGAGCGCGAGTTCAGCACCCGCGCCCCTTGGACAGCGACCTGAGCTCCCCAGCGCCGCCCAGCGCAGCGCCAAGCGATCGGCACCCACCCAGCCCCGGCTGCGGAGGGGCGGCAAGCCTGAAAAGCCGGGGATGGGGGCTGTGCTTTTGCAAAGGAGGGAGCGAGGCGCTGGCGCTCCGGCGTGAGCCGGCTCCTCCAGCCCGGATCGCTGGGGGAAGATAATCGCCGCCCTGCAGCGGATGCCCGCGGGGAGGATGGAGACGCCAGACCCGTCGCGGTGCCTGACTCACCGGGAACGGCGTTGCTGAGGCTTTGCTAAGGGACGGCTGCCCGCCAATGGGCCACGGCTTAAAGCCTTTCTCTCTGCGTGTGGGGAGCGGGGGAACCGCTGAACACCCCGAGGTACCATGGAGACGGCGCAGCCCTCTCCGTCCTGGGGCGCAGAGATCTGGGGGATTTCGCCTCTTTAAACAAGGGGCCCGGCTCTGGTGAGATCAGCGGGATCCAGCGCTGCGCCTTCGGTGCCAGGATGGTGAGCGGCGCTTGGGTCCTTTCCACCCGCGGCCCCATGGGGGGATTCCCCGCGAGCAGTCAGCCTGCCCTGTGCGTGGCGGGGAAGCTCAGGGGGTGTCTGTGGAAGGGCAGATCTGGCATTTAGCCTCTCGCCCTTCGTCGGTCCTGTTCTAAGAGCCCGCCACTGATCGGTCTGGGCCGGGTTCCCCACCGATCGGTTCCCCCCGCCAGGGCTGCTTCGCGGTTACAGCCCGGAGCGCAGGAACAGCTCTGGAAGTGGCTAAAGATCTCCCATCCCACCTACAGGCCAGATCCAACCGAAATCAAAGGAAAGGCTCCTCGTCACTGCAGTGGGTATCAGATCAGAGCCTTAAGGGGCCGAGAGCTAGAGCGTAATTGCAGAGTAAACCCACTGTTCTAGACAAACCCTGCCCTGTAATAGTCCCATTACGACCCGCCACTTTCAGAGCGCGGTGGGGGCTGAAACTTGGTGCACAACGGCGTGGGGGTGGGGGAGATGGCAATTTGTGATAGGAATTTGTATTCGTGTCCAACGCTGCATTTCTACCATCCCCAAACCTCAGAGATGGTGTAATCTAACTGTCACAGATGGACAGTTAGAGCAGGTCCCTCGAAAAGAGTGACGGGCACATTATTAAGATTAGAAAGTTATTCATTGGGCAAGACGCAAATGTCTGCCTGGATGTCGCATGGACTGCATATTAACCACTGATAGGCTACCTAACTGTTATAGGGAATAGTGTCAAACAAACAGAGTAGCTTCTGTGGATTTACAAGTTTTCTTGGGCTGAATTTATGTGATCCTAACTTTGACAGGTTAAAGAATATATATCTTCTTTAAACGTGTTTCCATGACAAGCCCTATTTTGATCATTCCGGTGAATATCATGCATTTTACCAAATCCAGAAATGCTGTTTTTTTTCCATTGAACTGCACAGCAGCAATGAAGTACTCCACTGCTATGTCAAGTACAGAGATAGGGCCTGCAGCCTGGAAGCAAGTTAAATTCCCATTGACTTCCCTGCAGGTTTTGCCTGCTGTATAATGATAATACTGAAGAAATGCAGGATCAGGCCTTCATTGTGAAAATTTAAAAATGTGGCAGAAATCCTTACTGAGGACTTTCCTTTTCTTCTAAGTAAATTCTGATATTAAAATAGTGATTTCAGATTGTATATAGCAGCAGTGGGGTTGGAGGGCTGACAGGGCCCTCCAGTCCCCATCTCACACCAACTCACCATAGGCCTACACCAAACCCCATGCCTCTCACAGGTGGGTTTAACATTGATGTCAGTGGGCTTTGGATCATGCCCATGTGAATGTGGGTAAGTCCCCAATTTGCAAAAGCTGCCCCTAACTCTGGGTAATTATTGCTGTTTTGATACTATTTATCTGTATAACTTAATGTTTACTCACCTTTTTCAACCACTGTCACCTCCATTTTATATGTACTTAGAAAATACACACACAATAATTGAGCCAACAGTGGGCCAATCTTGCTTTCTGTTACACTGATGTAAATCTGCACTAACTCCATAGGAATGAATGTGGATTGACATCAGAGCAAATTTTTGCCTGCTTTTGCCTGTTTTCTAATCTATAAAACAGGACTAAGAATTTTTCTTACCGTACAAAAATTTTTTTTAAATGTACAGATAAATAATACACAACTTTGTAAAAGACTTAATAACCTTGGCTGAAAGGCACTAAATGAGTGCAAAGTGTTATTTACTATTTTGTATTATATTATTACAGTGGAATTTAAAATATTATGGACTTGCATGATTCAAGGGCACTTTTGTAAATAATTTTTCCATATTCCTATATTTATTTCTGCAGTATGGATTTATAAACACATGCCTGAAGTCTTTGGTGGTTGAAAAATATGGTGAAGAAACATGGGAAAAATTAAGGTAACTCATTCCTAAGGAATTGAATAAATTAAGAGAAAGTATAATATGGAACATAGTACCACAGAATACCAATCTCTCACTGTTGAATGAATGCTGAAGTATTCATTATTCAGTAAGCAATTATTAAAAGGGAAAAGGGAAGGGGAACGATCCGTAGCAACTGCCGGTGCCTCTGCGGGCGTTGCCATCCCGGACGAGCCCCCAAATTGTCGGAGAAAAACTGAGTTCTCACTTTTTGTTTGGGTACAGCAAGTCAGATGCTTTATTAACTCTCACAATTGTGCAGAGGGAGAGAGCTAAGCAGGTCTCTCTCAACAGTAAACAATTACAGCAAGCATTTATACCTTTTGTTACAGACAATAATGAGCAACAACTGCATTTTGTTTATACATAGGTCATTCTGATATCTTGTTTTGCTCACTAATGTAGACTCTTAGTCTACATTCCATATTATCTACACAAGGTCGCAATAACTTCTCACACAGTTCTTTCTCACCCGCCTCACACAATCCTCGCTTCTACAAATCTCGCGTTATCAGGGCTACAGTTAGCCTGACTCTTGCTAACAAACTGTCATGCATAGCAGTTCTTTTCTGACAGTTCTTTCTCTGCTTCCACATTACCTATTAAGTCAAAGTCAAGGCATTCACACTGCAACATTTTATCCTAGGACATTAATTACTTCATTTATTAGACCAAATAATGAAGGATGACATTTTGTCTGAGGGACATGTGGGCAATAGACACACTGGCTCATTGTATCGTTATTGAAAAGTAATTACCGTATGCTGAATAGAAGCCACCCTTATTTTGAAGTCAATTTCATCTTGGAGCCTCAGGGAAAAGTAATTAAATGTAATAGAAAACATTGATTTTGCTCTCTTTTGTTTTTTGGGGTTTTTTTTAAACTTGAAAAGCTTTATGGAATTTTACATAATATAAAGAAATAAAAATAAAGCAAATGTAGATACCAAGTGATCCAGGGCCGGATCCAAAGCCCATTGGAACCAATGGAAAGATTCCCATTGACTTAAATAGGTTTTGGTTCAGGCCCACAGGGAACCAGGAATGGATCAGAATGTGCCACAATGTACAGTAAACCAATGGAACAGAAGCAAAAGCAGTACCATCATCTGTACAGTGCCTATCACAATGGGGCACTAATACTAGGTTGGGGTTCATAGGCACTACAGTAATAAATAATAGGATCAGCCTTGTACAACATACATCCTGATTCAGCCAATCACTTAGGCACGTATTTAAGTCTCACCAATGTCAATGTGACTTCTCACATGAGCAAAGGTTGCAGGTTTCAGCCTTAAGTTTAGATTCTGTCCTCAACAGGTACTCATCTATCCAGTTAATATTAATGAAGGGAAGGGTCGTTCTCAGGTATCACAGTGAGGGGTGCAAATAGGAGAACTGTGACTAACGGATACCAATTGGGTCTTAAACGTGTTCTGTTTAGAATGATATTGCAACATGAATCTCATTTTTGTTACAGAATCCAGGCAGGAGTTCAGGACACATTTCTGACGTTTGAAGTTTACAAAGATGAGATCACAATGCAGCTAATTGACAAAGCCTGCAAAATGTTAGGTACGTCAATGCAATACAAAACAATACCTGGGCCCAAGCCTCTGAGGATCTTGTGCCCCAGATAAGTCAATGGGAGTTCTCCAAATGAGTTCAGCTGGAGTGTAACTGGGCTTTCTATAAACCAGGGACTAAGCTGATCTTGGGTTATACCTGCTTGTGCTGGAGCAGGGTCGGAGTTGGGAAGTTCCTCCAGAAGGCAGCTGCACCAACCTCATGATTAAAAGTGCTTGGAGCAGGTCACTGTTTGGAGCTCCCAAAAGGGGTAATGTTAGTTAGGACTAATTGACCAGACACCCTTCACTAGTGGGAGGTCCTACAGGGCCCTGAACTCAGTTTAAGACTATCCTCCCCATCTACCCTTTTGGGGGAAGGCTATAGTAAAAACATTGCCTGCCCTTCTCCCAAGAAGATCACTGCAGCCCCAGGGCTCAGGGAGGTGCAGTTTTCATCTCCAGGCACCAATGGGGAGAATCGAGTCAGAGAACAGTATTAAGAATTAATATTGAAAATATTAGAATTTTAGACAGGTACTGGAGATGACTTTTTTTGTTTTCTATTTTAGACTATGGGACAGCTAGAGAAAATACATGTTTTTCCATTTCTAACAGCCATATAACATTTTTTTCAATTTTTCTTTAAAATAATATACAATAAAGATGCGTAATACATAGCCATGGCTTTTGCTGCTATTTGGAGATCAACACATTTCAAAAGACTGATCAAGTTAGACTTGTGGGTTGGGATATTTGGGTGTAGCATGGTTGATTTGCACTGCGCTGCCATCAGCTTCTGACTATACAACCAACCTATTAAGCCCCGGATGGAAGAACAGCTCAGTGAAAGGAGGATATTCTGGTTGCATAGGGGCTCCTACGCCACCCCTTTCCTGTTACATATGGGGTCATGGCTGAGGGAAAGGGGGCAAGATGGGATGCTCCTACGCTACCCTGATCCCCCATCTGTGGTTTCAGCTCCTTGGGGCTAACAGCTAGAGTGAGTTAGAATTGCTCTCAGGATGCTCCCAGTTAAGCCCAGGAATGGGGCCTGCACACAAGACCCCAGGATAGGGAGAGTACAAAGGTGAGCTCTGTGCCACCTCTGTACCTCCACCTCCCCTGACCTGTGCTGTGTGTAACACACACATTTCTTAACATTCCCTACCTTTTCTACAAACATTTTGCATTTATTGTTAGTCCATTTCTCAGCATTGTTAGAACTCTCACATCTGTCATGTTAATTAATTAAGGTATCTTTATTTTGCCAGATATTCCCCCTGATATGGTTCTGAAGCAGTTTGGAGAGTTTTTCTTTGAATTTTGCAAACGGTCAGGCTATGACCATATGCTGAGAACATTGGGTGGAAATCTCTATGAGTTCATCGAGAACTTGGATGCATTACATAGCTACCTGTCTCTTTCTTATCAGGCAAGTTGAAGTAAGAACTACTGAGCAGACATGGATGTACCCTGCCAGGGTTTACACACTGGCATGTCAACAAAATACTGTGCTATAACCGTCCCTCTTGTGCACTGAAATTAATTATTCTGATGCACTAGTGGGGAAAGAAGTCAGCTATTCAAAGTTATCCTTAATATTAGATGTAAATTTATTCAATACTTTGAATCAAATAAAAGGTATAGTTTCCTTCCAACATAAAGATCTTTCATTTCTGATAAATGCAAATGAAACAAGATCAGCGTTATAAAGTATAACTATTTATTTTGATAAGATACAAGGTGCTTTTATAGAGCTTGCTATTGCACTAGTGTTCCTTATGATAAAGGATATTTAACTATTATTATTGTTTGCAGGAGATGAATGCACCTTCTTTTAGGGTAGAAAAGAATGAAGATGGCTCAATGCATTTGCATTACTACTCAGATAGAAGAGGTCTGTGCCATATTGTTCCAGGTAATAATGCAGTTGCGCTAGTAATGCATTACATCTATAGACTCATACATTTGCAGCTATTCTTTGCTTAGTTTTCACAAGTTCTCTGGACGAGAATTGACAGCCCGACAGAATTTTGATTGACTTTAAAATATTTTACTGTTATGGTTTAATTTTCAGAGCTGCTGAGCATCTGCAGCTTTCATTGACTTCAGTGGGATTTGGGGGTGCACAGCAATTCTGAAAAGCAGGCCATTAATGTCTGTCCTGCCATAGCATTTCTAAAACACACAGATTTTTATGGTGGAAGAAGTTGAAACAGTTGATGTGCATTATGGAGTCCACTTTTGTGCTAGTTCTCTATATCTGATATCCCTAAAATCATTAAAATGGAGTATGAGGAGAGGTGTTAAAAACACATCATGGAGACATCCTGCAATGAATATCCAGGCAAAACTGCCATTGGACTCAATTCAGCACTAGGCCCTCCATTAGCATTTGCAAGAATCCATATCTTCACTCAGAAACTGATCCATGTGAACATTGAGAGAATCACTATATTTCACAATTATATTTGTGCTATGATAAAATAGATCCCCACTCTTAATCTCTAGATGATTAAGTGGAGCCCCTTCAAAGGAACTTGTAATCTCAAATGGGAATCAAAGCTTCTCTCTTTATGAATACCCATTGCCTTTTGATATTTCAGAATGCATAGCGATTTGACACTTCACCTGTCTCTAGAAATGCAGAGTGATTTTTCAGATCATTGTCACTGTAGAATACTGCACTCAACCACCACATATTCTTAAGTACAAATTGAAGCAATAATAATGCATGTTGATGCAATGTCTTGTTTCAAGAGAGAAAATTCCCCTTGACTACATAATCAAGGTCAGACTGTGAAAAATGTTATTCAAAATAAAAAGGAAGAATCATAGCAAAACTCTATAATCTGTCTAAATATAAATATTAGAAAATAGCTGCAGTGTGTTTTACAAAGGAAAACAGTTTGTACATGCATGACAATCAGCTAGATTGAGACTAGCCCGCACAGGACAGTAAGAGGAGTAAAGCCTCAAAGCACCCCACAACCCAGCAATACGGGACTTGTTTGGATCTTGAATCTAGGCATGGAGTGAAAGGGGGTGGGAGACCAGGGCCTTCTAGCCCCATACTGCTCTCCTGGGGCCATATGGGCGAGGATGAGGCAAGGCGATGGGGAGGATACCTCCCCTGCACCCTCCATGGCCCAGCCCGCAGAGTGCAGTATCTGATGAAGAGCCAAAGCAGCAAACAATGCAAACTACCCCTCTTCCCCTCCACTCCCCACATCAAATGGGAGCTCTGGAGGGATTACAAATCAGAGAGGTGTCTCTGAGTCTCAATTCCTTCTCAGCGTGCTGCTTAAGGTGGTGCAGCTATAAACCCCTTTTTACTTATGGCTCAGTCTAAAGGCTCATTTCAGTCCTTAGAGAATTTTTCAGATTCTACAGATCTTCTGCACTAACTTTGTTGGCTATGTCGATAGTTAAATATGTCTCATAACATCCCAAGGTGTACGTCGCATCAAAGCTGGTGTAAATCGCCCTTGCGCTGTATAAAATTAGTGGGGCTTGGCTGATTTACACCAGCAGAGGATTTAGCCCAAAACGTACACATTAGTGTAACTAGTCTTAGATGACGTATGATGAATGAATTCATCATATGTCATCTTGCACTTCTGATTTTTTATATATAAACACTCAAAACTGCATAAGTCAGCTATAAATGCTTGAGTTAGTACACAGCATTGCACAAATATTTGTTACAATGGAAGGTTTTAGTTCGCTACAGAATTTTGTCTTTTATTCCCTTTCAGGAATCATTGGTGCAGCAGCCCTGGATTTTTTCAACACTGAAATTTCAATGGAAATAGTCAATCAAACAGAGGAGGAAGAAAGAACTGGGAAAAAAGAACATATAGTTTTCCTTGTCACTCAAAAACCTGTTTTTTCATACAAAAAGAGAAATAAATTCTCTTCCTCACCACAATACATTGCTGACTCTGGAAGGCGAATTGAGAAACAACTGAATAAAGAGGTATTTTGATGTTCCTCCTATAAATAAATGTCAGGGAAATAAATATCGTTCATTAATAAACACTGTACTTGGGATTTTTTTACCCAAAATATTTTAGATGAATCTGCTGTTACCATTTAAGGCTCCCATCCTGCAAGTTACTTCATGTAGACAGATCCCATTGACACCACAGAATAATCTGCAGGATTGGGTCCTGCAGGTCCAATCTCCAATTTACTGAATGCCTTCAGTTCCCATTAAAGTCCATAGGAAATGAAATATTTTAAGAAGAAGTAAGGATGGCTAATCACTGCACAGTTCCAGACCCTGAGCCTCTGGGAACTAATTTAGGAAGTTTGACATGATTTATTTGCAGTTATTTGTTTAGTCTGGTATAAAAATATAAATGTAGCTATCAAGTTTTCAAAACTGCCTCTAAGCTTGCAATACCTCATGTGCGTACCCACATTTTTGGGCATGTATTTCTGAGTTCCTAAATTTGGATTGTGCAAATTGAATTTGCACATGGATATCAGGTAGATGCTAACTATCTGATTTGCACATTTGTGCAAATGTGTGACTGTCTGGGTATGCAACATCTTGTACAACACAGACAACTGTATGTTGAACTACCAAATTTGCATGTCTCAGTTTAAGTTCAAAGGCTGGGGTCAAAGAATTTTGAAAATTTGGCCCTTTATATTTTTTTTATCTCCATTAAAGTATTTTTCTTTGGGTCAGATCCTCAGGTAGTATAAATTGGCATAGCTTCTTTGAAGTTAGTGGGCCTATACTGATTTACACCTGATGAGGATTTGGCCCACAGAGCTAGAGTTTTAACAACTGAAAATAGAGTTGAATGTTCAGATTGGGTTTATTCCACAGGATATTGAAAAAAACATGAAGAAGATTAGAGACAGAACAAGCCTTGTTTCTGTTTGTCCCGCCAAGAAAAATCACTGGGAAACAATCAGAGGAATCGTTACACTAGGAAGAGGTAAGAGGGAGATCATGCAAAGGGAATCTGACATCATCTATTAATACTGTCAATTTAGTATTCTATAGGCTATACATAACTTCACTGCCATTAACTACTCACCATTCATATTTTCCCTGTATCCTTTCAATAGAATATTGTATTCCATTAAAGTTGCAGACAAAGAAGCATGCTTACTGACAGCACATACTCAAGTGCAGCAGGTTGTGTGTCTCTTAGGCTTTAAAGTGTCTCATCTTTAGAGGGTGGTTATACACTAAGGGCATGGCTACACTTGCGAGTTAGAGTGCATTAAAACAGCCCCGTGCACTCTAACTCACGACGCGTCCACACTGGCAAGGCACGTAGAGCGCACTGACTCTGCGGCTGGAGCGCTCCTGGTAATCCACCTCCGTGAGAGGCATAACGCTTGGTGCGCCATGGCTGGAGCGCCGTGACACCAGTGTGGACACCGTGGCCTGTTAATGCACTCTGATCAGCCTCCAGAAGTGTCCCACAATGCCTGTTCTAGCCACTCTGGTCATCACTTTGAACTCTACTGCCCTGCCCTCAGGTGACCAACTGTCAGACCCGCCCTTTAAATTCTCTGGAAATTTTGAAAATCCCCTTCCTGTTTGCTCAGCAAGGGGTGGAGTGCTCTCAGCGCATCTTTCCAGGTGACCATACCTCCACGCGCCAGGCGATCCCCAGTATGGAGCAATGGTGAGGTGCTGGACCTCATCAGTGTTTGGGGGGAGGAAGCTGTCCAGTCCCAGCTGCGCTCCAGCCATAGGAATTACGATACCTTCGGGCAGATATCAAGGGACATGATGGAAAGGGGCCATGACTGGGACGCATTGCAGTGCAGGGTTAAAGTGAAGGAACTGCAGAATGTCTACCGCAAAGCCCGCGAAGCAAACAGCCGCTCCGGTGCTGTCCCCGTGACCTGCTGTTTCTACAAAGAGCTGGACGCAATACTGAGGGGCGACCCCACCTCTACACTGAGGACCATCATGGACACTTCAGAGCCCAGTTCAACAAGGGAGGATGAGGAGGAAAGCGGGAGCAAGGGGGCTGAGGAGGAGAAGATACCCCGGCATCCCTAGATGCATGCAGCCAGGAGCTGTTCTCAAGCTAGGAGGAAGGTAGCCAGTCTCAGCAGCCGGTGCTTGGGGAAGAACAAACACCAGAGGAGGTGCCCGGTAAGCGGCTTTTATTTTGGGAAGGAAGTTACTCGATGCAGGCTCTTGGGGCAAGGAGGGTTAGGGCTGCATGCATGCCTAGATGTGGAATAGGGCGTTGATGTGCTCTCTCACATCGCGGTAATTGGCCTCAGTGATCTCTTCAAAAGTCTCATCCAGAAGCTGTGCAATGCACTTGCACAGGTTCCTTGGGAGCGCTACTCTACTCCTTGTCCCAGTCAGGCTAACATGTCCACGCCACTGTGCCATGATGGGCGGGGGGACCATTGCTGCACACAGGCAAGCTGCATATGGGCCCGGGCAGAAGCCGCATTGCAGTAGAAGACCCTCCATTGCTTCCCAGGTCACCCTCAGCAGCGAGATATCGTCCAGGACGAACTCCTGTGGAAAATGTGGGGACAGTGTTCAGTATAGGGCCCCCCTGGAGCTGTTGGCTCTCCCCAAGGCACAGAAACCCAGAGGACAGTACGGCTGTGAAACAATCAGTCCCCTCGACCCTGTGCTTACTCACCATTTTGGGGCTCCCGGGGGTTATGTGCGCTCGCTTTGGGATGGGCAAATTCTGCTATCATTAGACAGTGCTTGTCTTTAAGTACAGGTGAATCATTGCTCTGTCTGGTGTGAACAATGCTGCCTCTGTTAAGTGTTACATTTTGCCTTTACAGATGCAACCTTGAGATCTCAGCCGTCCGTGTTATCACCGGCCGAAAGACTCCAAAGAATTAGGAAGAGGTCACGTAGAAGCAAAGAAGACATGCTGCATGAAGTAATGCAGTAGTCCCTTAATGAAAATCAAAAAGCACAGGAGTGGAGGGAGAGTGAAAGGAGGATCTGCCAGCAGAATGCAGAGCGCTGGCACCAAAGCGCGGAGCGCCGGCAGCAAAGCATGGATCGGCTGATAAGCATCATGGAGCACCAAGCGGACTCGATCCAGGTGCTGGTAGCCATCCAGGCGGAGCACTACTGCGCCCGCACCCCCCCTGCAGCCCTTGTCCCCAAACTCTTTCCCTTGTGCCCCAATGTCACCTCCAACCCACTTTCCCCAACATCTAGGTTCTTATCGCCATCAGCTGCCTCCAACACCTGTATCTTTACCACCCAGCCCTGAAAACTACAACCCTTACCCACTGCACTCAACCCCCATCACCATGCATTTTAGCCAGCCTGAAGTGCAGCACTCCTTGCACAGCACTCCAGACAGGACATACGGAAATCTGTGATTGTACCGTTCCCCACCCTACCCCCTTAACCTTTCTGTTTCCCAAGCAGTTGTGTTTCTTTTCAATACATGAATTTTCTTTTCAATAAATGGATTTTTTGGCTTTGAAAACATTCATTATTGCATAAAGTAAAAAATACCTTAGCCCAGGAAAGCAACAGGCACTGCAAGTCAGCATAGCAAACACAGATTCCTACTAACATTGGAACCACTGCACTTCACTCCCGTGCAGGGCACCAAATATTACTGGTGGCTTTCAGCCTCAAATTGCTCCCTCAAGGCATCCCTAATCCTTGCAGCCCCGCGCTGGGCCCCTCTAATAGCCCTGTTCTCTGGCTGTTGAAATTCAGCCTCCAAGTGTTGAACCTCCGAGTTCCATGCCTGAGTGAATCTTTCACCCTTCCTTTCACAAATGTTATGGAGGGTACAGCACGTGGATATAACCGTGGGGATGCTGTCATCGGCCAGGTCCAGCTTCCCATACAGAGAGCACCAGCTGCCCTTTAAATGGCCAAAAGCACACTCCACAGTCATTCTGCATCAGCTCAGCCTGTTGTTGAACCGCTCCTTGCTGCTGTCAAGGCTCCCTGTGTAGGGTTTCATGAGCCATGGCATTAAAGGGTAAGCGGGGTCTCCAAGGATCACAATGGGCATTTCAACTTCCCCTATGGTGATCTTTTGGTCTGGGAAAAAAGTTCCAGCTTGCAGGTTCCTGAACAGGCCAGTGTTCTGAAAGATGCGTGTGTCATGCACCTTTCCGGGCCAGCCTGCGTTAATGTCAATGAAACGCCCATGGTGATCCACAAGTGCCTGGAGAACCATAGAGAAATACCTCTTCCGATTAATGTACTTGAAGGGTAGGTGGGCTGGTGCCAGAATTGGAATATGCGTCCCATCTATCGCCCCTCTGCAGTTAGGGAAACCCATTTGTGCAAAGCCAGCCACAATGTCCTGCATGTTACCCAGAGTCACGGTTCTTCTGAGCAAATGCGATTAATGGCCCTGCAAACTTGCATCAACACGATTCCAATGGTCGACTTTCCCACTCCAAACTGGTTAGTGACCGATCGGTAGCTGTCTGGAGTTGCCAGCTTCCAGATTGCAATAGCCATCCGCTTCTCCACCGTCAGGGCAGCTCTCAATCTCATGTCCTTGTGCCTCAGGATGGGGGCGAGCTCCTCACACAGTCCCATGAAAGTGGCTTTTCTCATCCAAAAGTTCTGCAGCCACTGCTCGTCATCCCAGACTTGCATGACGATGTGATCCCTCCACTCAGTGCTTGCTTCCTAAGCCCAAAAGCGGCGTTCCACGGTGGTGAGCATGTCCGTGAATGCCACAAGCATCTCGTGTCATATGCGTTACTCGCCTTGATATCATCGTCGGAGGCCTCACTGTTAGTTTGGATCTTAAGGAGTAACTCGACTACCAAATGTGACGTGCTGGCGAGACCCATCAGCATATTCCTCAGCACTTCGGGATCCATTCCCACAGAACGAAAGGGAGACAGAGTGCGCAGTACAAAAAACTTTGAAAGATGGCACCAAATGTGGACGGAAGCACAGGGATTGCTGGGATGCAAAGCAATGCATCACAGGGCGTTGGGACAGGACCCAGAATGCCTCGCACCCCCTGCCCCCTTCCCACAAGCCACAGCGCCAGAATGGGAAGAGCTGCTCTGTGGGATAGCTGCCCATAATGCACCACTCCCAATGCTGCTGCAAGTGCAGCAAATGTGGCCACGCCAGTGCGCTTGCAGCTGACAGTGTGGACACAATGCAGCACTTTCCCTGCTGCGCTGTCCGAGGGCTGGTTTAACTCACAGCGCTCTACATCTGCACGTGTAGCCATGCCCTAAAAGTGCTTCTGTAAAAACAGCATCGTGGAGTTTCATGTTTAATGACTCTCAATGATTTCCAGATAAAGTAGTCTCAGTTTACAAATAACAAAATAAAATAATAAAAAAGATTTTCTAGCTGCCAGCCTTGCAAGCTCAGCCTGAGATCTGAAACTGGGTTATTTCCTTTTCAAACATCATCAACTGTATTGGTGGGGTGGGCCAAATTATACCCTCTGCTACAGCTGTGCAAGTATAATGCTGTCTGATTAATGCCGTAGGTGACACCTGTGTATCAATAGGTATAGTGGGTTCTCTCAAGGGAAGCTGATTGAATTCTGTTGGTGATCCACAAGGATTAGAATCCAGGTTACTTTCCCATAGCCGTTTTGGTTCAATAGGGCTAATAGGAGTGAAAACTTATGTCTGAATCTAGCATCAACCTATATGACTCTAAATACAGATCTGCAGAGTACAAAATTGCCATTCATCACGTTTTGAAGTAGAACTGCATTTTAAAAATCAAAGAATTTGATTCGTTGTGTTAACTTGTAACAGCTCATCAATTGTTGGAGTTACCAAGGGTCTGATTTTCAAAGATGCTGAGCTCCCACTGACTTCAGTTAAAGCTGCAGAACCTCAACTCTTCTGAAAATTAGGCCTTGAATTCTTAATCTAGCCCTCTTCTCTCCATAGTCACCTGAGAACTTGCTACCTTTGTTCCTCTGCTCCTAATGACAGACATTTGAAAATAGATCACTTGAAATAATCAGCAGTCTGATAGTTATGAGTTATTGGAGAACGCTTAGCTATAAACCATGCAGTAATAATCATGCATTTCCCATTCTCAGACATCATTTATTGTTATATGGGTAAAATAGTCAAAACTGCCTAAAGGTACACACTTACACTGCAATTAAACACCCACAGCTGGGGGGCTGTTTAATTGCATTGGAGATGTACCTTTATGTAGAAAATAGATGGGTAGCTGCAGCCTGATCCCGAACATCTACACCACAATTAAACAGCCCCTCAGCCTGAGCCCCAGAAGCCTGAGTCAGCTGACATGGGCCAGCCGCAGGTGTTTAATCATAGTGTAGACGTATCCTAAGTGACTGAGGTGCCTAAGACCTGTTGAAAATCAACAAGATTGGGCATGTGTTTTATGTAGGCACTTTTGACATTTCAGTCTACATGCTTTGTGCTCAGCATGTAATATGAAAACATCACCTTTCTGGTTGCAAGCTGCTACCTTCCCACAGACAAAGCGACTGCTTTCAGGAAAAGCTTAAGGAATGTTTCACACACACTCCTTTTGTTCTCCATTTCTTGGACCAGATTTCTGCACATAAGGGACAGCAAACTGTGTCCCTAAACCTTTCCGCTATGAGTGTCCATAAGCAGCTGGTAGACTATATTGGACACCTTTGTTATATACCCTTTGGTGTGAATATCGCAGTGGCAATTGCTATAGTATCTGAAATATTTACAGAGACCCACTGCTACCCATCTATTTTCTGCATAATTTCATACATATAAAGATTCATATTTTTCGGTGTTTTAAAACCTAAACTTTTCATCCAGATAAAATTGAAATGGGTGAGCTCCTTTATATTTATCTACAGTGTACCACACCTAGAATTTGCACATATCTATACTCACACGTTATTTATATTGATTTACCTTATTATTTCACATCATCCTGCTAATTATTTTTCTGAGCTACAATATGATCGAAAGCTTCAGATTTATCTTACTGCAGGTAAACTTCTGAGAGGATTTGATCCTGCTTATCCTACAACCCTCTGGATAGATACAAAAACATTTTGCAATGGACTTCCTTTCCATATTGTTTTTGATGAAGAGGTAAGGCAAGCACCTGGTAAGTAAGTTTTACGCACACAAGCCATATAGATCCAGATTCACAAAGGGATTTAGGCATTGTGATGCTATGCTGAGCAATGACAGGGGTGCATTCTAAGCCCCATCCCACTCATAGAGATCGGTGCCCATCTATGCTAGCGATCCATGAACTGTGGTAAGATAGGTTTTCCTCTATCTAACTCTTGTATGTGGCCTGATCTAGTAGATGTGCTCAGAGGCCATCTAGTTCCACTGAAAATGGCCGGGGGTAGGGTGTGGGGGGCGGGGAGAACCTCCTTATAACCATTAGCCCAGGGCTCACCTGGTCCACTAACCACTAGGCTATGGAGTGATTCTCACTCTCTCTCTGACCCAGTTAATATTTAATTATTTAACTACAGTGGAATAACTTCAGTAGGAGAGATTGAGGGAGCCCCACATCAGATTATCCCATGGTCCTGTGGTTAGTGCTGAAAGGTGGCAAATACCTGATCAAATCCCTTCTTCTCATCAATTGGAGGGGGACTTGAAGTGGGGTCTCCCACGTCGCAAGGGGGTTCACTGAGATTTCTGAGTGTGAAGTGCCTGCACACATGCTAACAAAGTGCATCAGTCTCAGTCACTCAATCACACATTCGTTTCCTGGATTCTCCAACAGCACTGGATCGGTCCCCATCTCCTGGACTCCCTAGCAAAGTGACCTCTCCCCTGACAGCCCAACACTCGCATCTGGCTTCCCTTTTACATCCCCCACTCCCAATCCCCTGCTCACCCTATCACTTCTGTGGAGGCTGGCTGATCATTGAGACTCTGCATGCAGCAAAGGGTTCCTCTTCTAGGAAAACCCAGACACACAGCCACGTGACTGGCACACTACCTCATCCTCTGGGAAGAGGAACCCAGCTTCTTTTCACTCCTAATGGCAGGACTCTGAGCCATTTCTCTTTCACAAACCTATTGCCACAAGAGGACTGGTATGACAGCTTCTCCCTTCCCACTGACTGCAGCGATTAAGTGCTGGGGAACTCTCCCAGATTTGCTTGGTCCCTGGCAAGCTCCTCAACTTCCTACTCTCATGCTCTGCAGAGAATGTTGGCTTCACACAGGAGATGGATGGATGAGAGAGAGAGAGAGAGAGAGAGAGAGTGTGGGTGGGTGGGTGGGTGGGGTAAGCAAAGCAAATAAATTAGACATGGGAAGTGTTCCTGCAACTGGGCTAGATAAAGAAGTTTCAAAATGTTGATGGGACTCACTTCATAATGTAGTAAAAGGTAAATGAAAATCAGGTGGTTTAAGCCTTTTAAGGCATCTTATCAACACCACTGCAACCAAATTCTTTGTGCCGAATAAGGTCTTGCTCCCATCAATTGGGGCAGGTCCTCAGCTGGGGTGCAATTAACTTAGTCATGGAAAGTGAATTGCTTGTTGAGGAGAAAGTCCCAGGCCCTGCTGAAATTAGGGTCATATATTATCATCAGTTTCAAAGACACTGCTCAAACTCTTAAAAACTGATACAAGATATGGCCTGAAGAAAGTAACCATAGGTCAATGGTATCCATTACCATTACCAAGTTAGTATTTGCCACCACAGTTATTTTCTATTCCGAGTGTAGGTCAATACTGTGAACTCTCTCAGATCGCCCTTTGCGGTAACTGCTGGCAAAGGCTGACTTGTTAATTTGTTTTTGTAATTATAGTATTTAACTATAATGAGTGTTATATCTTTTTAAAAGGTTCTAGAAGCACCCATCCCAAATGCTGAATGTCCCTTACAAAACTTAAGATTTTAACAATGAGTTTGAAAATCACAGAAAACAGCTTAAATCTGCCACTACTACCGTAGCCACCACAATGTGAAACCATGGCCATATGAGGAACAGAAAAGAGATCACAGCATGGCAGATTGTAGAAGCAAACATAATATAATCCTCTTTAATGTTAGAATTAATTTTTCTCCAAAGTCACCGTGACATTGCTATACCCTCTAGGGAGTCGGGAATTGTGGGGGGACAAGGAAGGAGCTTAATGAGGCTTAGAAAAAGTATGATTTATATAACATTATGGAACTGAACTGAACATCACTCAGTGCTTTCTCGTTACTAATCGTTGATGTTCTACAGCATATCACTGATGGAAAATTGACTTGATTCTCCTCTCACTTGTACTGGTTTTAAGCTGCATTGGGATTGGTTGAGTTACACAGGACTTACACTGGTGTAAGCAAGACAAAGATCATACTCATTACTTGAATATAATTGATATTTCACTGAAGACTAATGTTTGGAATCAGCAATATATATCGAGGACACTTGTATGATTATAACACTATTTCCTAGTTCCAAGCTAACATTCTATGTTATGTTATTCTATAAGAGAGAAGCAATGCAGAGAAATGAGCCATGTACTTGGGCGGTGAGACGGTTGACTGGCTCTGTGTGAAGCTAAGTCCATTTGAAAATAGTGATCATGTATTGCAAGTGATGGGTCAGCTGACTGGTAGCTGATCCCAAAGAGGACATGAAATGTAACCTGTGGCCCATGTTGTTTTAAAGCTCAGAGTAAAGCAAGCTGGGGTGAGCATTCAAAAGATTGTCCCTGGCCTTCAGACCATGGGCATTCGCCTGGATCATTACTTCAGTATCGTGCACCCAGAAGTGACATTCACCATCTCTAGTGTTCAGAAGTTTATCAACAGTCAATTTGTTTTCCGGACTAGGAGAGAGATGATGCCAGAGTCATGGAAACAACGTCCAATGCTAGAGCTGAGAGGTACTTAATGTTTTCAATGAACATACATGGCTCTTGCTAAATCACGAATAACTGTAGAGTTGAATTAGCTGATTTTAGCCATTAAGTTGAGGCAATCTCTGCAGAGTAGTTCTGCTGCCACTCCATGGTCCCTCCCACTTGTCCCGGTGGATATCCCCAGCATGCAGCCAAGACCATCTGCTTCATTGGCAGTTTGGGGTGTGCAAGATCAGGCCCAGAGAGCTCAGTTCTGTTCTCAGTACCACTTGCAGGGGAGCTGGAACAATTTGTATAGTGAGGGTATAGGGTAAAAAATTACACTGGCAGCCAGCTTCCCTCCCTCCAGCGCCTCCTGCCCACTGGCAGCCCCGCCGATCAACTCCTCCCTCTCCGTCCCACCCGCTGTGATCTAGTCAGTTTCTCTTTTTGTTTATAGTCATTTATACTTTCTGATTTTCATTTCTGTCTTTCTCTCTTATTTAAAAATACAGAACAGTTTAAATTATAGTGACAAAGAAATCACTTTATTTGATTGGTTTTCCTTCAGAGAAAATGGTATTGAGTGGTGCTCTGATTGGTCCATTTAGTTGCAACAAAGTTTATATTTAAAAGGAAAGGAACAATGTGTTTGTGCCCTTGCTTTGTTTCTTTAATACATAAAAAAGAAGGCCTGAAAATTGTATTTGCTCATGTTTTGTCTTAGAAGTATCATGCATGTCAAATCTGGTCTTCCCTGGTTTTGCTGGAGATCTTTTGGAAGGTTTCAGAAGTGTATTGAGTAAAAAAAAAATTTTAACAAAACAAGGAGTTCTAAACAGTCAGAGTAAAAATTACATTTCCTCCCAGTTATTTACATTCAATTTCTGTGGTATCTGTTATGTCATAAACCTATTAGTTCTCCAGTTGTCAATACAATTTCTCAAGAAAAACACAATAGATAACACAGAAAACAAGCAGAATTAAGAAGAGAAAGAAAGAAAGAAAGAGCACAAGCTCAATTTTTCCCCTTGCAAGTTACCATTAAAACTCAGTAATTCTCTCCTGTGCCCACAGATGAAGTAAAAACATATAGTATATCAGGCATATTGTCAAAGGGAAAGAAACTTTCATAGGCACGGTGGTCATATTCCCTTAGACTGGGTTTCAAAAAAACTGGGTTCAATGCCTGACTCTGCCATAGACTTTCTGGGTGAAAATCCAGGCTCCGCTGAAGTCAATGGGAGTTTTGACAGGCATGTTGTAAGCAATGACTGAGGGAGGACAGTGGTTTCTAGTATAGAGAAGATAGAGTGGGTCAGGATTAGGCACCTTCCAGAGACTTCAAAAAGCCACTGCTTCCTGCCCAGCACAGCACAGCATCCTTAGTAATCTGACGGAAACTGTAGGAAACTGAGGGTATGTCTGCACTGCAATTAGACACCTGCGGCTGGCCCATGCCAGCTGACTCTGGTTCGCGGGGCTCGGGCTGTGGGGCTGTTGAAGTGCAGTGCAGATGTTCCAGCTCGGGCTGCAGCCTGAGCTCTGGGACCCTCCCACCTTGCAAGGTCCTAGAGCCCAGGGTCCAGCCCGAGCCCAAACGTCTACACTGCAATTAAACAGCCCCACAGTGAGAGCCCGTCACTCAAGGGTTTTTAATTGCAGTGCAGACAAACCCTGACAGTCCTCAAGGTGACATACACCTAAAGATAAGCCATTGTCCTAAGGGCTAAGAATCCCATACTATTAAAACTAGGCTGTTGAAAGTCCTCGCTTTCTTTTCCAATTGTTCTAAACAGGCCAGATGATCTGGATGGAGTCTCTGCAGTGCATGCTCTATCTCTGCTCACCTTTACTGCGCACTTTGCATGAGTTGGAAGAGAGACAGATGCATATTGCGGACATAGCACCTCATGACGTTACCAGGGATTTGATTCTTCTCAACCAGCAAAGGCTGGCTGAGATGGAGCTCTCCAACCAGCTGGAGAGGAAGAAAGAAGAACTGCGGATACTCTCAAAGCACCTGGAGGAAGAGAAGAAAAAGACAGAAGCTCTGCTCTACGCCATGCTTCCAAAGCACGTGGCCAACCAGCTAAAAGAGGGGAAACGAGTTGAGGCAGGTGAATGAATATGATACATGTATTTAAAAAAGCAGCTCTGTCCTTAGTATTAGATTTGGAAACTATGCTGTTATCCAGAGCTGGCTCCAGGGATGTGCAAACTATGTAGCCTCAATGATACCGCCCTTTCCGGTGGTTGCCCATTCAGCAAGCACAATGCTGGTGCTCTGAGTGGCACCAATAAAGCAGGCTCTGTTTTGACCTAGGTGGAAGATGGGAGGTGTGAGTGTGGCTGGAGAGCTATAGGAAAAAGATGGAGTGGAAGGGAGGAGGAGATTGAACAAATTGGCCATACCTCTACAAGGTTTTGTTCCTCTAAAAAAATTTGTAAGCCCAGCACTGGCCTGATTTAGGAAAGCATTTTTATTCTTATTTAGGACAGCATTTAAGCATATGCTTAAATTCCATTGAAGTAAATGGGCCTTAAGCACAAGCTTAAAGTTAAGCATGTGCTTAAGTGCTTCCTTGAGTAGGGATAGAGTAAGGAATGTGTTTAAGTGCTTTGCTGAATCAGGCCCATGTGCTTAAGCTTCTGTAGACAGCTTCCTGGATTGTCTAAGACGTGCTACAGTTCTTACATTTGGTATGTTATTAAATCTGATCCTCCCCTACCAATATGGATCGTCAATGAATCATCTTATTTGCTAAAAATTTGGTGAGAAAAGCAATCTCAGCAAACTGGTCTTGTGTGTGCATAGCAGCCACAGCTACTGATTGGTCCAGCCCTTCAGAATTATTTATAAATGGAAGGAGTATTAACACAGACCTTTCTGTTCACAGGAGAGTTTAAAGAATGCACCATATTGTTCAGCGATGTTGTGACCTTTACCAACATTTGTGCCCAGTGTGAGCCTATTCAGATAGTCCTCATGTTAAATTCAATGTATCTACGATTCGACAGACTAACCACAGTGCATGATGTCTACAAGGTAATTACTTATTTACAAAGGCTGCAGCTATTTTCATGAAACCGATTTGTGGGAATTGCAAAGGGTTTCAGAAAAGCATGCACTATTGGAGTTTATGGTGACCTTGAAGGAGGTCAGGAAACTAAAGGAATTTAAGTTGTTAATAACTGTTTCTGCTATTTCAATGTTGCTATATTTAATTAAAGCAATTATATTTTTTTTCACAGTTTTGTAATGAAAACTAGCCAACATGCAGAGACTGTAATTAAATGTGCTAAAAACATGAGTGGAACCAGGCCTGCCTCGTTTCCTTGACTTCATTTAGCTCATTCTGAACCCACCATTCCCCTTTTGGAGCTATTCAGAGTGGCAGATTTTAATCTCTCTTGTCCTTGACCTGGTACTCCAGCAGTTACATTCCTTATTTTGCCATCACTGGTGTAAGGACAGTTGATCTCTTTTTACCCCAGAAAAGCCTACCTATAAACCTAAGGTGATAGGACACTTACTATATCACCTTCTGATACCAGTCCAAAGTGGTAAAACTAGTTGGATTGTCCATTTTGGATAGCTTGGATCGTTCACCTTATGAACCTGGCTTAGATCATTGTCCTGGACATGCAGAAAGAAAGACAAAATGCAAGAGATGTGGCTTAATTAGGCCACAACTTTATACTTAACTCATCTGGTAACTAACTGGCTGTAACTCATACAGTACAAGTCATGACTACTTCCTTAATTGGTTCTACCTGGTGGAGGGCTGGCATCAGCTCCCCCTCACCCAGCTGGTCCTAGCCTGTTGCTGGGACTTCACTGCATTCCCCTCTAATGAGAATACAGGGGCTGGGAAAAGGGGGTCATCTCTTTGCTGTATCAGGTATTAGGAGCCTCAGGCCTGTTTCCCCACTTCTTTAGGGAATGTCTTCCCCTAAGTCTACTTCCAACTCTGCTTTCTCAGGGAACCAGTCCCCTATGGAAGGAGTACCTGGATTGGATATATGCCACCTGTTGAGTTGTGACCACTTGAACCTTACCCCACGGGGTCCCTGAGCTGCTGTGGGGAAGGCAAAAAATCTCACCCCACCCTGGCCAGCCCCAAAATTCCCACACAGCCCCAAAAAAGGCAACTGATGCAATGCTCACAATAGACCAAAGAACTCAGTGGAGGCTGCTGACTGGGCTCAGGCTGGAGGGCAGAGTTTATATACCCTCCCTCAGGTGCACAGGGGCCAATGACTTAGCTGAGCTCCACTGGCCAGCCCACCAGGAGCTGCTACCAGTCCAGACTTGGGGTATGTCTACACTACAGGATTAATCCGAATTTAGCTAATTCGAATTTGGGAAACAGGTTGTATAAATTCGATTGTGCGCGGCCACACTAAGCACCTTAATTCGGTTTTAAACCACATTAATTCGGTGGTGTGCGGCCACACTACCCCATTAACTTAAACACAGTAATTCGGTGGTGTGCGTCCACACTAACCCTAATTCGAATTAACAAAATCGATTTAGGCTCTACTCCGTTCGTCGAGGTGGAGTACAGAAATCGATTTAAAGGGCCCTTTAATTCGAATTAACTGGCTCTGTAGTGTGGACGGGTGAAGGGTTAATTCGGATTAAGGCAGCTAAATCCGAATTAAAGTCCTAGTGTAGACCAGGCCAAAGCCGTCCCTGTGGCTGTGGCGTGGGGGAGCTGCAGTGTCTTTTTAGGTATCCTCTTTCTCTGGCAGTAACATTATCAGCTAGATTCAATTAACATCTTAGAGATGAAACTTCCATCAAAACGGAACGTGGGTATTTTCTCCCTAGTCTGCATTTAATGGCCAGATCTTGGCTGGCATAATCGGCTGAGTTCCATGGACTTCTGAAGTCTGAACATCTGGCCTGAAATTTACATCCCTCCCCCTACAGTTGCAAATATCGGCGCAAGTACATCCAAATCTTGAAGTCCTTACTCATTCCTTACTCAGGCAAAACTCCCAGTTAAACCCATGAGAGCTTGGGGGAAGAGTAGGTTACAGTTTCAAGGTTCCCAGGAGGGAATGAATTATTGAAACTGATCAAAGGCACTTACCTAGCCCCAGCTAATAAATGTTGGAAGTTATGAATAAATCCAATTAAAGAAAATCTCTTGGCACAACATAAATATAATTAGAATATCTATTTGCATTAGTGTCTTTGGCTGTAAATTTTTTAAATTTACTATAGAAAATAATAACTGGCATTATCATTAAGTGGACTACCTTGATGGGAGCGATCTATAGCTACACAGTTTTCATGCCTAGCATACTAGATTGTTTTAAGTAGTTATGTTAATGGGCAGCTCATTAGGAATTTGGTGCTTGCTATATTACCGGCGTTCAGGAAAAAAACACCAGTAAATCCAGTTTAAGCTAATCGCTCATGTAATGATAATGAATGAAACACTGAAACCCCCTAAGAGTTGTTTAGAGAATTTCTTCACAGCATAATGGCTTTGTACAATGAATTTAATACTTTTGGGATTTCTGTGGTTCAAACAACCTTCTTATATTCCTGGCATGGGGTCTGCATAATCTCTTTCCAGGGCCAAATCCCAAAGTACTTTCTTAGGCACAACTTCCACTCACTACAATGGGATCTATGCCTGAGTAAGGACTACTGACTTTGCCCATAGAAGAGACTATGAGGAAATCCATAGGTTGCAGTAGGTTGCAGGAAGACAACCTGGTCCTTTTGTAAGGAAGATTATGACAGACAAGCACCACACAGTCTGCTTCACACCGCAATTTAATATATTCCTAACATTTGGATAGTTTTTCTAAACTATCATTTGACTAGTTTAATAGTAATTGTCACTGAAGAATAGCCCCAATTTACATTTTCCCCTAAAATATCCTTTTAAACCCCAATTTGTGAATTAGCCAGCCATGTATGAATCATCATCACTCTGATAACTGCATTGGTCATTGGGGCACCATTATTGATGAGCAATCAACCAATTGTCTCCACCCCTGACGATTGTGTCAGTGCTTGAGTCTCTGCGAAGTCCATTCTGTCCGCTCTTTTATGTTGCCAATCCATCTCTTCTGTCTACCTCTTCTTTTCTTTCCCTGTACTGTCCTTTGGAGGATGATCTTGGATAGGCCAGATAATCTTGTTACATGGCCGTACCACTTCATTTTGCATTTCTTCACGGTCGTCAGGAGGTCTTCATGTGACCCAGCACATTGGGCGATGATGTTGCAGACCTCTTCATTAGTGACGTGGTCGAAGTAGATGCCCAGGATTTTATGGAAGTATCTCATCTCTTCTACCTGTATTTTCCGTTCAAGTTCTGCTGTAAGGGTCATGTCTCACACGCATACAGAAACATGGAGATGACCAATGCATGTAGCAGTTTCAGTTTGGATCCCATTGGAGATGTTCTTATTCCTCCAAATTGGCTTTAGCTTTGCCACTGCTGCTGCTGTTTGCGCAATTCTTGCCAGAATTTCTGCCTTGGATCCTTCATTAGGGATGATTGCCCCCAAATACTTGAACTGTTTCACTGTCTTCAGCTCTTGTCCACTGACAGTGATATGTGAGCTGATCCCATCACGTTTGTTTGTTATCAGCTTGTTTTCTCTGTATTGATTTCCATGCCACATTTTGCGGAGGTTTCATCCAATCATTTCACAAGATTGGCAAGTTCATCTTCGCTGCCTGCCAGGCCGTCAATGTCATCAGCGAACCGAAGATTTGAGATTGTTCACCAATGCTGACTCTGCATATGTGATCTTCAAGGGCATCAGTCATTATGTGCTCCAAGTAGATGTTGAACAGTGTGGGCGAAAGAAGGCAGCCTTGCCAGACTCCAACAGTGGTCCGAAACCACTCTCCTATTGTGCCATTAACAAGAACTGCACTGCTGGCCTTGGCATACAGTTGTTTAATGGTAATAATAAGCTTATGACCAACATTGTACTTCTTCATTGCCCAGAGAGCTTCATGCTATACTCTGTCAAATGCCTTCTTGAAGTCAACAAAGACATGGTAGATGTCCTGTTGGTGTTGTAAGTACTTCTCAGATAGAACAGGAAGATTGAAAATCTGTTCTGTGGTACTTCTTCCAGCACGAAAGCCAGCCTGTTCTTCAGAGATGATATTATCTGCTTGTGGCTTCAATCTGTTCAATATGACTTTCAACATCACTTTGCTGGGATGGCTAATTAAGCTTGTGGTCTGGTAATTTTGACACAATTGCAGGTTGCCTTTCTTTGGCAGAGTGATGATTAGTGACTGTGTCCACGTGGAGGGCCACTCACTGGTCTGCCAGACCTTGTTGCACATCTTGGTGAGTACATCTATTACTATTTCATCAGTTTCGGCTGGGATGTTGTCAATACCTGTAGCCTTTCCGTTCTTAAGTGATTTCACAGCTGTTTCCACTTTTTCATGCAGTATTGGAAAGTCATCCTGCTCTGTTGAATCTGGGCTGTCTAAGACACTGGGATCTCCATTTGTCTGGTGGTTGTATAGATCAGAGCAGTAGTTTGTCCACCTATTGATGATGTTCCTTTCTTCTGTAAGACTGTTCCTTTTGTCTTGAATTGCATTAGCTTTGGGCCATCTTTCCTTCGTCAGATCTTTTACAACCTGGAAGGCTCATTTGCTATTTTTATTATTGATACACTCTTCAATTTTAGAGTATTGTTTTTCAATCCATATCTCCTTGGCCACCTTCATTCCTTTCTTGATCTTTCTGCCAATTGCTCTGTATTTATCAGCTCTCTCACTGCTGTTCTTGTCTCTCTCAGGTTCTCTTCTAATGTCATACATTTGTAGTATTTCATTTGTGACCCATGCTTTTGCCTTCTTATGGTGTTTCCCAAGGATGTCCATTGCTGCCTCATTCATTACAGTGTTGAAATTATTGGTCATTATTTCTACGTCTTCCTCTAGAGCAAGCAGCGGGGCAAATTTTCTGCCAATCATTGCTTGGAATGACTCTGCAATGTTTCAGTCTTTGAGTCTTTCTAAGTCAAACTTGGTTCTGGTGAACTTTGGTCTAACGATTTTCCTTAGATGCAGCCAAAAATTTAGCATCACAAGGTCGTGATCACTCCAATATCAGCACCGGGCCAGCTCCTTGTTTTAGCTCTGTTAATCCCAGAACCAAATCAGTTTTTTACCATGATGTTGATCATCTGGATGCTTTATATGCTCCTAATGTGTTTGCAAGAACCAGATTGTTATAGCTGGCAAACTCCAAAAGTCTCAATCCTCTCTCATTGGTTACCGCATTACAGAAAGGGCCACAATAATCTCACCAATCTGCCTGTGTGTCAGTACCCACTTTAGCATTCCAATCTCCCTGTACAATCAGGATATTTTTCTTATGTACCTTATCGATGATGTCTTGGAGCTGATTGTAAAAATCTTCAATTTGCTCATTGCTATAGTCTGTTGTAGGGGCATATACTTGTACCACTGTGATATTAAATGGTACTGCCTTTAGACGGATGGAAATAAGCCTGCTGGACATTGGGCGGCATCCTAATACTGAATTCTTGATATCTTTATGCACAAGAAATCCTACTCTGTTAACATGTTTGTCCTCTCCATTGTAATAGAGTACATAGCCTTCTTCAATTAGTACCTCTCCAAAGTTCTTCCATCTGACCTCAGAGATTCCTAGGAGGTGCCAGGTGTATTGTTCCATTTCATATGTGAGTTCTTTCAACCTCCCTATTCATCTCAATGTCCTTACATTCCATGTAGCTATGGTGATGTTATCTTTTCCACAGATCCTCTTTGTTGGGATTACACCAGTAGTATACTTGTCACGTCTGCCCTGGTGGGAGACAGATGGCGCGGTCATTATTAACCCGGGCAGCAATCAAACATGGTTGACTTGCTCATCATATGGTGTGTCTTGGGCAAATTTCTAACCTGGCAGAGCCCATCCCTCTCCAGGCAGCCCCCTTTTAGTCGTCTCTTACGACATTCAGGAGGAGCAGTGGGCCTATTCTGTCCCTGGACCCACATGGGAACGATCTATGAATAGCATTCAGTGAATCCATTAGACTAGCTGCTGCTTCAGTGATTCATGTGCGGGGGTGTGCATGGGCGTTCCCACCCTGAGTCGTAGGGGGATGCTTTCACAGCACTGTTCCTCCACTTCCTCAGGCCCTGCAAAGAGCCCTCTGTAGAACCAGGATTGAGGGGGCAGAGATGGGGCAGGAACTTTTTCACTGTAGAACCAAGGGACAAATCAGACCCAACATCAGCCTCGTAGAAATCAGGGAAGTCAAAAGGCTGAGGGTTCCCTCCACTGTGACCTCTAGGTGGTTGAGACCAACCTTTGAAAGGGAAAATGGGGCAGCTGCAGGCAAAGAGAGTCCCTGTCCCTGAAAAAAAATTCTCAGAATTAGAAGTATTTAGAATACTCATCTGTGTTTCCCTAAATATTAAAGGTGGAGACAATAGGCGATGCCTACATGGTGGTAGGAGGTGTCCCTGTGCCTGTATCTACGCATGCTGAGCGAGTTGCCAACTTTGCCCTGGGAATAATCATAGCAGCCAAAGAAGTCAAGAATCCGGTTTCTGGAAAACCTATCCAAGTGAGTCAAAACCACAGAGATGTACATATTTCCACGTGCTGTTCGGGTGAAAGCGTTGTTGTGTGGTAAATGCACTGGTCTGGGACTCAACAGAGCTGTGTTCTGTTCCTTTGTGACCTTGGGGAAGTTCCCTAGAGCCACATCTTGATAAGTTGCCTGATTTTTCAGAGGTGCGCCCCACTGTATTAGCATTAATGGATAGATGGCTGGTTAACATTTTAAACATACATTAAATAAGTGATATTCTGGGGTTCTTTGTGTCTTTGTAAAGATTAGAGTTGGGATCCACACAGGACCTGTCCTGGCTGGAGTAGTTGGAGAAAAGATGCCTCGTTATTGCTTGTTTGGAGACACCGTGAATATAGCTTCCCGGATGGAGAGTCATGGCGTTCCAAGTAAAATTCACCTTAGCCCCACTGCCTATTAGTGAGTAATGCTCCTTCTTCTTTACAGCTCTGCTGGAAAATTTTGCATTGCATTTTAGATGTAAATCCCACTGTCTTCCATAACTTACTCAGTTTTAACTAATACTTCATTACAATTATCAGTTCTTGTAAACAGTTTTATTTGTTCACATTATTTTGAGGCAACTAGATTAGGGTGAAATTTATGGTCCCTGCAAAAAGACAGATTATTCTGATTCTACATTTTAGAATAAAACATTTCAAAAATATTTTTCCATATCTCATGTGAATACATAATACATAATGGTGTGATTTAAAGGCTCATTAGATCATCTAGCCAAAGTAAGCCATAGAATTTCATCAATTTATCCCTGTACTGAGCCTGATAACTTGTGATATAACGGTTTTATTGGGATTTATTTAGCACAAGCTACATAAACCACTGTATTTTTTCCACCCTTGAGTAATACGGACTTCTCAATGCCAATAATACCTTTACACCACACCTCCATATTGTTCATAAAATCAGAGCTTTTGTTCTCCCAAGAATCACTTAATTGACCCATTTCCCTAGTTTTTGCTCTCTGTTTTCTAAAAATAAAGGACTAAACTCTGTTCATCCAAGTTTGAAGCATAATGATAATTTCTGGTATGTAATAGATGAAGTTTGCCATCAGAAATACTTAGTTAAACTACATTAGGGCAGAAGAATTAGTCCAACTCATGGTATGGACAATTGCATATCACCCTATATCTGCTCTAATTGGCAGGTGAATCCCACCTCAATCATTAATCTACATTTTACCATGGCTTCATGGACAGTAAGAACCTTACATATCAAGTGAGAATTTGATTTTGTTAAACCTTATTAGAGTCTGAGACAAAGTTGTTTAAATTCATTGACTTCAGCGGGCTTTGGATCAGGCACTTTGAGTACACATACCTAAGCAAACCATGCCTTGTTCTGAATTAAAAAAAAACAGTTTTAGAACAAAATCCTTCTCTCAGTTATTTGTAGGGAATCGCAACTCTACTACCCTGGACTCCCCACCTGTTTTAGTTTAACTGCTGATATACACCATGCTATTCTGAGAGGAGAAGGCTAAGAATCTGATAATTTTTGCTCTGTATAAGCCCCTTTTAATGTAATTGTTATTGTTGTTCTAGCTGCCTAAAGGACAAAAGTTTTGAGATGACTGAAAGAGGAGAGATTGAAGTGAAGGGCAAAGGGAAAATGCATACATATTTCCTGATTAGAAACAGGACTGCAACTGAGAATGAGATCATGGGAAACCCAATAAAGGAATCAGATTCTGACCATGAATCTGTTCAGTCCTTTCATGAGTCCAGGATCAAAATGATACAAAGTTCATGTCAGCAAGGTAGAGTTGGCACAACAGAAAACCAATTCTTTCCACAGTCTTTTAATTCCAATTACATTAAATGTTTGTTCCTATCTTCCCTCAGCTATGCAGCCCAGTTCAGACCAGGACCAGCCACCAACCATAGCAATGAAGTACATTGATGGTCCCACAGAAACACAAGCCAGTTACAAAGGAAGAAGTCAAGAAAGAATTATGGATTTAACAGGTATTTTCTTTGTTACTGAATATTCAAATAGTGGAGTTAGAAAGCATTTGAGACTTGATCCTGCAAACTGATCATATTACTCATGTGAACAGTCATAGCTTACATACAGATGCATTATGTCATTGGGACTTCTCACATCAGTGGCTGCTTAAGGCTAACCATCCTGCACATTGTTTGGGGCTGACCATATCCATCTTCACAGTAATCCCAGGCTTCAGGGATGGGCTAGGGAGAAAGAAGGTCACAATAAGACTATTATGACTACCATTATCTTTAATATTTTGAAGGTCCCAATGAAGTTGTTTCTGGGATCCCGTGCAGTGGTCAAAGCCGAGTGAAGTGGGAAAGGGCATTCTCATTGCATCAGCCAAGGAGGAGGGGGAGCCACTAACCCAAACCAAGAGAGGAAAGGGCTCCGTGGGGGTGCATGAGTCACCCTTGCCAGAGAGAGGATGGGGAGCTCTGATTCCCACCCCAACCTCCTGTAATTTTATCTGTTGGCCCCATCTCCTCAGTCTCTTTTGACCCAAGTACACTCAGGATTAATTCCTCAAACATGGGGGTCTTCTGCAAATCAGGTGACCCCATCAATTGTGCATTCCCTAAGCCCTGGAAACTGGCTTGTTTGTGTTTTTCTTGGTTATGAGTGGTAAGGTTAATCAAATCTTATGCCTTAAGGAACAAGCCACTCACCTGTGGTTAGGAAGGATTTATTCGCTCATGTACAGCGTTACACAGTTTATCAGGTGCTTTATGGGGAAGTTCATATTCCTGTGAAGTTGCAGGTACTGGCCAATGCTGGAAGCAGAATATCAGATTTGATGAATCCTTCAATCCTATGTACAGAGCAAAAATATTTTATGGCTCTTAAACGGACTAAAAAAAGTACATTTCCCTTTACTTCTGCTCTGCTCATGTGTAACCAGTAATATAACATCTACACACCTGCCATACTGATCCATCTATGGTCATTAAGAACTCACACAGGAGGAACATTTCTTTACAGGCAAAACACATGACTTTGAAAGCTACAGACGTCTCCATGATGACCAGCAGCCAGGCAGTGATCCTTATCTGCCCAACCAGGAAAGAATCAAACCAGCACCTGAAGAACCACAGAACAGAAATGTCAGATCCAATTTTTGCAATTTAATTTAAGCTGCTGACTTTTAAAGTTAAACAGGGTAAGTACATTGCAATCTACTTCATTTTGCTATCTGGGTACTGATTTTGTATAGAAATTAGTACAGGGGTTTTGTAAAAATGACATTTCTTCAGTGCTTGCAAAAAATACAAAACGCTGGAGGATCTCAGTTTTTTTTATTATGGTGTTTACATAATTTAATTGTAATATATACATATGAGATGACACAAGATGCCTTGGACATGGGGTGCTCCTCAGCAAGTGCCATATTTCTCCAACTCTCCTTTCCCTTGTACCAATTGTGTTCACGTTCTTGGGTTCCCATCCAGTGATCAAAGTACATTGAGACAGGAAAGGATGGACTCGTGTGACTAGTGGCATCCCTGCTGTAATGAGCATTCATAATAAAAGAAAAATGCCCTGAAGTGACAACTGCCTTGACTCCAATAGAACTGACTAATTGCCTGAGCAAGATGAGCAGAATTTGGCCCCCATCCTAACTTTGATACCAGTTTAATAACTGACATGTTCTCTGCAGGGGAATATATCATGTCCTGATAGCAGGGATGGACTTGGATTTAATAAAATCAGTATTTCCATTTCAAAATAAAGATGGTTTTTGCTTTTTAGTATTTATGGGACACACATCGGTTTACAGTTTTTATACCTGCATTTGTACTACACTTAGAAGACCTTAAAAAGAAACACACACTGCTGAACATAAAAGCATTTTGAGCCCAGTTCACCCCTGTGCAGAGGGCCAGTACAAGGTCTGTGCACCACTTGAGTCCTCTAAATAGGGTTTAAGTGGGATATAAGTGGATTTCAATTTATTTCTGAGCACCTCTCCCCACCTAAACAAGATAAATAAAGATCTGGAGCCCAGCAGTGGGGCATGACTTTGCTCCAGACAAGCGGTTCTTTAATTTCACTTATCTAATGCAGAAAATGAGATTCAGGCTCACTAGATGATTTACCCCCTCAGACCACATTTGATCAAAAATGGCAGAGGGAAGCTACAGGCAGAGTTGCCAAAAAAGGATTTGTGACCTAGGACATAGAAAGGAGCCATGATGGACATATAGACTGTGACCAAGATAGTGCATGGACATTTTTTTCCTCTTATTGCACTGCAGCCATCCTAGTATGGATGTAACACACAGCCCCCAGTGGGGGTGGGGTGGGGGGGGTTGGCTTTAGACTCCACCCCCAAATTGATTTAAGGTCTGCAGCTGTGGATTCCTTAACTCAGGCTAGGTCTACACTACAGCGGGGGTCCGACCTAAGATACGCAACTTCAGCTACGTGAATACCGTAGCTGAAGTTGCGTATTTTAGGTCGACTTACCTGGCTGTGAGGACGGGGGAAAGTCGACCGCTGCCGCGCTGCCGTCGACTCCGCTGCTGCCTCTTGCCGCGGTGGATTTCCGGAGTCGACGGCAGAGCGATCAGGGATCGATTTTATCGCGTCTTCACTAGACGCGATAAGTCGATCCCAGAAAATCGATTGCCTGCCGCCGGACCCTCCGGTAAGTGTAGATGTACCCTAAGTGTGTGAACGTGAATACAGTTTGATGCACTTTGAACAAGTATTCACCAGGGTGGATAATATGGCTGCTGTGCTGACATGCTCTGGGGCATCAAAGTTCCTCCTCTGTATACAGGTGCATCTGAGGCAAATGTTCAGATCTCCTTTAAATACCAAAGAAGAATGTGAGACTTCTGTACAAAATCTTCCCTCTGCAGATGACCCAGAGGGAAGTAATGTTATTTCACCAGGTTAAACGTTTCTGTTAAATCTAAAGTAATATGACGTGCCTGGCCACGTGCCCTAGAACGTTAACGTTTTATATGCTATGCCTGAGCACTACGGGAGAGTCCGAATTGAACTCTGTTTTATTACTGGTATGTTTTTAAGCAGGGCCCCCCTGCTCTCTGAGAACTGTGTATTATTTTGGTGATGGCCACACCCGCTATAGGTTACAGACCTAAGTTTTGTTATTGTGAAACTGGTCAATCTTTGGTGGTGGGTTGTTCCTTAGATCTGTGACATCTGCATTCCAAGCTACATCTTACTAAACGCCTTCTCACTCCGGATACCCTGGAGCCCCTTACTTCCCACACTGAGCTTGGACAAACTGCTCATGTATTTATATACAAATCTCTCAAGAGACATCGAGCCTGACTCTTTTCTCATTCACACTTACTCTCACTGACACTTAATTTGAGGGACCGGCAGTGAAATCAGTGGTGTCTTGTCAGTGTAAGAGGACAACCTGCCCTGAAAGCATTGATCTGCCCTACTAGACAAATAGATTTAATTAGCCTTTCTCAAAGAGTCACATATGGTAGAAAATTGTTCTTTCCAATTATCCCAATTTGGACAAGACAGCTGTAAGATTTGCTAACCGTTCTGGGTCCCCTGGGCAGTTGGGAGTGAAACTCCTTTTGCTGGCAATTTTCCACTCTGGCCACTAGAAACAAGGGATCCTGAGGCTGCGGCAGTCAGCAGCTGCCTCTCTTATTGTTCCTTAGCTGTCTTCACAGCTCCCCTTGCTCTGAATGCCTCACTGGAGAGAGAAAAGAAGATGCAGTCTCCCCAAACCCCGTAACATCAGGGCCTAGACAGCTGGAACAGTTTCAGGTCCCCCTGGCACAGGAAAGGAGGCCATAGAGGGACAGAAGAGTAATGAGAGATCCCACAGGCAACTATCCAGCGGGAGAAGGGGCAGATCCTCCGGTAGGGAGTGGAGAAAGGGGTGGGCAGCTTAACAGGAAGAGGAGAGAGAAAGGGAACCCACCATAGCTGGCAGAGAAGGAAGTGGGAAGACATCACAGGTGCCCGAGAGAGAGGAAAGAATGGGGGTGGAGGAAGAGATGTCCCAAAAGAGATGCGAGTTAGGGGAGCAGGCTGCCTTGCTCTCCCTGACTGATTTCCATCAAAAAGATGCCTTCATGCTGTGTAGCCCTTTAAAAATCTTTTTTCCAGGTAACCAGCTATCAGTCATCTCCTTGCTAGGAGGATGCAAGGGTCAGCGCATCCCACAGCAGCAAGGGGGCTGGGCAGAGTACGGGGCTCCACTCTGGAAGGGAATTAGCGCTTGAATGGCTGAATAATGTCATTTGCCCCTTCTCCAGTTTGGAAACTCACACAACTGCATCACCCATGAAGACCCCTCTAGGCCAGGACTCAGTAAGGCAAATTTGATATATACTAGGTCATTTTCCACTGAAAACACTGTGAATGTTTAAGATGTGAAATATTTTAAATGCCAGTAACTAGTCCAATTCTGAGCACTATTGAATAATTTATTCCAGGGGTTCTCAAACTGTGGGTCGGGATCCCAAAGTGGGTTGCAACCCTGTTTTAATGGGGTCGCCACGGCTGGTGTTAGACTTGCTGGGGTCCAGGGCTGAAGCCGAAGCCTAAGGGCTTCAGCCCTGAGTGGTGGGGCTCAGTTTACAGACACTCCCCTGCCCAGGGCTGAAGCCCTTGGGCTTCAGCTTTGTCCTCCCTCCCTCCCCTCCCTCCCGCTCGGTACTGGGTCGATGGGGCTGGGCTCAGGCTTCGGTCCCCCCTTTTGGGGTCGTGTAGTAATTTTTGTTGTCAGAAGGGGGTCGCGGTGCAATGAAGTTTGAGAACTGCTGATTTATTCTGTTAAGTTTTATTTCATGCTCTGTGTGTGTGTGTGTATGTGTGTGTGCGTATTTTAAATGTACATGGGCAATGGCTTCAGTATGTACTCTCTTATACAAAGTCCTTCTAATGTCTCTCATCCAGAGATCCATCCAAGATATCCTATGGGCACTGGGTTTTAAAAAATAAATTATAGCTGCACATCATCACGTGTTCTTAAAGCAACAAATACCGCTAAAGATGTTGAAATAAAGGGGACTAGACACACAAAATAAATACTTTGGGTTTTACTTCACTATTCATGATTTTTTACAAACACTATGGAAAGTTAGTGCAGGTTTGTGCTCCTAAATCAACTAAGTGCTTTTGAAAATCCCACCCATAGTGTCTTACAAAAGAATCAAAACTTATTGCTAAAAAAAACCTAGGGTAAAATTTTCAAAAGCACCTAGAGGAGTTAGGCACTTTTGACATTTTTTACCCATAATTAACAATGTAATTTCAAGTAGAACTGGAGAAAACAGTCCCAAACTCTCAAAACCTTCCCATTTTTCAGTAACTTTTTCATTGGTTCTGTTCCCCCCACCCCACTTTTCTACCCACTTCTTATGAACATTGAAGCAATAAAATTTTACTAGCAAAAATGTTCAAGGAAATTTAATTTCTAGGTTGCAGCCATACTATTTATTACTTCTACTGTGAACAGAGCCCCATTGTGCTATGGAATGAACATACACATAGTAGGAAACAGTGTCAGCTCCAGCGACCTTACAATTTAAATAGACGTCAGAAAAAGAGTGAGAGAAAAGAAATCTGATTGCCACTTAACAGATAGGAAACCAAGGTACAGAGAGATTAAGGCTCAGATTTTCAAAGTTGTGTAAGGGATTTGGATGCCAAGTTTTCATTAAGCCTGGGATATTCAAAGGAGTCTAAGGATGTTAGATCACAAGGATACAATTTTCAAAACTATCTAAGTGACATAGGAGTCTAAATCCCAGTTTCAAAAGCAACACAGACAGTGACTTTCATAAACAAACATTTTAATTTAGATTCCACAGTAAAAGAAAAATATTTCTAGTTGATTCAGGGGGAAAAAAATCAGAAAACCAGTGAAACATTTCAACTGAAACAAAAATTTTATTTTGTTTTTCATTTATCTGTGCAAAATAGTTCCTATTTTTCAACCAGTTCTTTTAAAAGCATCACTTATATTTAAATATACAGGAGAAGAGAACACTCAAATGAATAATAATAAAAAAACATTGTAGAAGCAGAGACCCGTATTGATCTAAAGAAGTCAAACTTGAACTGCTCAAATAATTAGGCAAAAGATTTGCACTAGTTATGTGAAACTCTTGACCAGAAATACAGCCCC